ATCTTGTAGTCTGGATAATTTGTAAGGATTCACCATACGGCACAACAGCTGCACTTGTTCCAGGCATATTAATTTCACAGATTTCAAGGTTATAAGTGAATGGGCAAATTAGCGTAGATCGACACAACGGTAAATATGACCTATGACCTTGCTTGAGCGAAACTGGCTACCTCGTATATTATTATCATTATTGTTGTTGTTGTTGTTGTATTATTATTATTATTATTATTATTATTATTATTATTATATTATTATTATTATTATTATATTATTATATTATCAATCATCATTATCAACATCTTTATCATTATTATTGGTGGTGGTATTGGTGTTCCTATCATTATTATTATCATCCCTGTTACTTTGTTAAATTCGCTTTGATTTTACTTCAGTCATTTGACAGCAAGGTCTGACTTACTTGGTAATCAGTAATATACAGAAAACGGGCAATAATTCTAATTTCAAAACCTGTTTCCGCTTTCCCATTCTGCTGCAAAAATTATAGCATAAGAACTGAAATCATGGGACAGGAAGTAATTAGATCGTCAATTTTCCTTGGGAAAAATGGTTGGATTGGTTGTCGATGACCATATACTGGTCTTCAGACTGCATCAACACGAGATATTAAGTGTACGTTTTCTTTTTTTCTTTCAGGTTTTGAGAAAACTTTTACGCATAATGTGAATGTGATATTTTGACTACGCACTTGAATATGTTGATTAAACAAGGTCTGTTTAAAGACAGAGAGAGAATGAAAATAGATATAAAGAGAAAAAGAGACAGATAAACATACAGACAAATAAAGAAAAAGAGAGAAAGAGAGATAGATATCAATACTAGGAGGGTATCCTTCAGTCGAACCATGCATAGTTAAGTTGTATTCGGGCAAATATGCATTTCTGTGTATGTATGTCTGTATATAAACATACGTGTCTATATGTAAGTATACATGCGCATACATGTGTGCGTGCCTGTATATGTGTATATAAATATTATGTATACGCAACACGTGCATTTATATGTATATCTTTAAAAATACCCATTTATCTATCTTTCTATCTATCAAACAGCTGTCCCTTCGAGGTTTCTAAAAGAGCTCGACGTATGGTGACCCCTCGTCAGTAGTCGGGCCATTTCATTGGAGGGAAGCATTATAAATATTATGTATACGCAACACGTGCATTTATATGTATATCTTTAAAAATACCCATTGTACGTATTTTTTCTGGATAAGACATATTTATGAT